TAAACCAGAGTAGCAAAACATGTCTGATATTATACCTGGTTGCATAAAGACACTAGACTGGAGTGTTGAAACGTTGGATTGTGAATGTAATTTGTTCAGGGATTACATTCATTTACTTAAACCAGAGTAGCAAAACATGTCTGATATTATACCTGGTTGCATAAAGACACTAGACTGGAGTGTTGAAACGTTGGATTGTGAATGTAATTTGTTCAGGGATTACATTCATTTACTTAAACCAGAGTAGCAAAACATGTCTGATATTATACCTGGTTGCATAAAGACACTAGACTGGAGTGTTGAAACGTTGGATTGTGAATGTAATTTGTTCAGGGATTACATTCATTTACTTAAACCAGAGTAGCAAAACATGTCTGATATTATACCTGGTTGCATAAAGACACTAGACTGGAGTGTTGAAACGTTGGATTGTGAATGTAATTTGTTCAGGGATTACATTCATTTACTTAAACCAGAGTAGCAAAACATGTCTGATATTATACCTGGTTGCATAAAGACACTAGACTGGAGTGTTGAAACGTTGGATTGTGAATGTAATTTGTTCAGGGATTACATTCATTTACTTAAACCAGAGTAGCAAAACATGTCTGATATTATACCTGGTTGCATAAAGACACTAGACTGGAGTGTTGAAACGTTGGATTGTGAATGTAATTTGTTCAGGGATTACATTCATTTACTTAAACCAGAGTAGCAAAACATGTCTGATATTATACCTGGTTGCATAAAGACACTAGACTGGAGTGTTGAAACGTTGGATTGTGAATGTAATTTGTTCACGGATTACATTCACTTACTTAAACCAGAGTAGCGAAAAATGCATGTCTGATATTATACCTGGTTGCATGAAGACACTATTATAGGGATTACATTCAGGGCATTAGACACTATCAGGGATTACATTCATTTACTTAAACCACGGTATTATACCCGCGATTACCATAAACTCATAGACTTTATTACACTACCTAGAATGATGCGAATGTCTACGACTATGCAACGACTGAACGCGGGATGGGAAAAGGTCCTTGGTTGAATGACACAGATCAAGATAAACATTCTGATGTTTCGCCCGTGTATGCCGACGCCAACGACACAGATACAAGTTTCTACTTTACTTTAGAAAGAAATCCTGCTGAGGTTACTGCTGATGCAGACGAGGGCACTTATGTAATTGCTATACCTGACAATGTTTATGATAAACCCGAAGATGATACAACCATGGAATTGAACAATGGCGGTACCAATATACAAGGTGGAGGACAATTTTACCACACGCTGGAGGAATGCGATGAAGAACTAAGCTGTCAAAATACAGTTCCGAAAGAGACGGAGAAGCAAGATGGAGTTTCGATTGAAATTGAAGAGCATGAGCTGAGCGATAATGATACATACGTTGTCAATATACCAAACGATGAGAATGGAATGAAATATAAGTTGTCAGAGGCGGAAAGTAAAGGAGAGACAACAGAATCGGAAAATGAAGACACTGAACAGACATACGTTGTCAATATTCCCAATGAGAATATTGACGCACCTAAAGTATCGCCAAAAATTAACGGTGATAAATCTTTGAGACAAATAGGGATAGAAAAGGATATCAATGATGGATATTCGGGACAATTGGGAGTGGAAGAGGACAACTGTGATAGACAAAAAAGAATAAATTCGAGTTCAGCAGAGGATGAATTTGGACCAAAAGTTGATGGATATTATTCTGAGGAAATATACGAGAATGTAAATACATGCTTGTACCCCAACAATGAAGGTCACGTGGCCCACAAAATGTTACCTGAAGAATTTTCTATAGCTGTCAAAAATGAAACAAATTCCGAGAACAATACAGCTGCAGCTAACAGTCAGGGAAATTTGGGGTACATTGACGATGACTTATTAGCACAAAATAAGATCGACGAAAACGCAAGACAAAATTCAATTGATAATGACAACACTCATGTGGTCCAAGTAGAAACATTGGCAAGTGCTCGTTTGAGTGAAAATACTACAAGGAATGATAATCAATGTTATTTCGATGACGACATTTACGAAGATTGGGAAGACAATATTATTGGTAGAGTAAAGACAGTTTCTGGTGAATCTGGAGACGAGTTGAATGCATCTGCAGATGAACAGAATGAATCTGGGGATGAGATATATCAGAATTTTGATATCATAAACGAACAAGATCAGGATTCTGGTGAAAGTTTTTATCAAAATCTGAAGGATTTCAGACCGTCTCTAGTCATGCAAGATGTTAGATAAAACATTGATAACATGTAGTAAGGAAAATGTTACATAAAACCCGATGTACGAGACTTGCCAATAAATAAAGTTAGTCATTAGGTGAAAAACTGCCTTTTAATCCGTACTTACAAAAGAACCATACTTACAAAAATTTACCATGTTATAAATTATTTAAATATTCGGACATCCATTACCTAGATAAAACTGTCAATGATAGATAAAAGTAATGTTGTTTATATTCATTAAAGTTTTCATATATTTATGATTGATACGGTTAGGGATCGTCCATAATTCAACATTTTAACAAGCGTTCAGAGAATGCTCTTTCTTTAACCCCACCCACCCACCCACCCACCCACCCACCCACCCAGAGCGTACTTAAATGTTGAACATCAGTAAGACGATGTGTCTATAGTATAGTTAAACATTTTAAAAAGCGTGCCTGGGCCATTAACCCCCTCCAACCAGAGTACGGTTTGTACGCTTATAGTTTGCAAATATAGATTGCCAAATACACACAATATATAACTAACATACAACTGCAGTAGCACAGTATCTCCCTTCACGTAACTCTGGAAGTTCTTGCCAGCTGTAACTATCGAATCTAAAGCCTTCCACTGACTTTAAAAAAGTTCCTCTTTCATCTTTGCCTCCCATGACAATCACAGTGTCTCTGACAACTGCAGCCACACATCCTTGCCTCTTATACTTCATCTCTGGTAACATGTGACTCTTCTGGGTCTTGATGTTGTACATTAAAACTTTGTTTAATGGTTTACTGTCACTATCAACGCCTCCCGCTAGGATAACATTGTCATCACCCCACTTGACTGTGGCCATTTCACTCACGCCGTAAGGGAGGGGTGCTAACTCCTGACATTCATTCTTAGTGATATCGTACAACACAACACTTTTAAGATTTGTCCCATAATTCATTCCCTGTACTCCTGCCACAATCACGATTTTATCACCAAACAATGCTACACAGTGGTACCATCTTTTCTGTGGCATGGTAGCCAACAGTTTATTGGTGTAAGGTAGAACAGGAGAAACCTCATTAATACCATCAGAACATGCATGTTTCTCAGCATCATAACCTCCAATTACTATCAATCGTCCATTATAAATTACACTGCAGTGTGCATGGAACTTTCCTGGTAACACAACAGGAACGTTTTTCCAAGCTATGGACTGGTTACCGTGAACAGCATTCACTGATAACATTTCCATGGACTTGGTTCCACAAGTGGAAACGTAGCCTCCAATGACAAAGACTTTATTATCGTAAACAACTGATGATGCTCCTTGGCGAGCTTTTCTCAAATGTTGTAGTGTTGCCCAAGTGCCATTTGATACACTGAACATCTCCACAGTATTTAAACGTCCAGTTTCATTAATACCTCCCGCAATGATCAACTTCGGCTCTCTGTCCATTCCATCAGATTCTGCAATTCCCTTTCTCATTTGTTCAGCTTGAACTTCAGGCAATGCTTGTGCCATATTTTCCAGTAACCTTGTCATTTCATTTAAACTTTTCTTCATTTCTTCATTGTCCGCTTTGAGTTGACGATTGCTTTCTTCCTGCTTGTTAAATTGCTCTTGAACCAGTTCAACTTTTGCAATCACATTCTCTTCCACAGTTTTCATGTTTGCCGCAACTTCTTTCTCATTTCTGTCCAACTTTTCATCCATTGCCACCAAACTGACTTTCACAGTATCAATCTCTTGCCGGATTTCGTTACAGTTATGACACTGAACTCTGCGTAGTTCACACACAGCTGTTTCATGGTGAAGCAAATCTCGTTTATTCACTTCAAGCCGACATCCTTCGTTAGAGCAAACTACGGGGGCGAACCCACAGTCTGTAACATGCCTTTCAAGATCTCCCAGCTCAATAAACTTCCCACAACCACGATTGAAGAATTCACATCGAATTTTCAACTCCGCCAGTAGGTTTCTTATACCCCGCGATGCTTGGGTTAGAGTATCGACAGTGAGTGGTTCCATGCATGTCGGGCATGTCTGAAAGTTCATGAGATGAGGAGTGATACAAGCTCGGCAAAAGAGATGCTCATTCTGTCCACACATAACTGGATCCTTTAAAACATTCATACAAATGCTACAATGCAACGTGTGACCAACGGGATGTTGAAATCGTTCATCTTCATAACCGGTGTCGTATGACGCCATGTCAATTAATCCAAAATTTTGGAGTAAAACACGCGTCAGCAGGATCAGTATCTTTCAGTCACATTTTGAAAAACCTGCCAGAAATATTTAAATGAGTCGTTTGATAGAAAAGTCTACAATTGATACTGTATGTATGACTTTCACTTTAAGAACAGCATGAATTTATTAAAACCTTCAAGTAAATATAAAATTACACAACATGGCCACACCACACAAAATTAACCATGCATACAATATTTGTCTGCTACAAAAATTGGCAAGAATATATATGTTTGACCTTAGTAGTGTTTATATGACTCCGTTGAAGAAAAGATGAAGCCTAATTTGTTTGAGAACGGATGTGGCAGCCACTGTCCACTGAAAACAAGGTGTATGCGACTTTCACAATAGATTATAAAGATAAACACTGAAATTCCTAAATATTATAAATTGATCTTTAAACTGAGAAATACTTACCAGTTCCAAGAATACACCAGATTTTGCTTGCTGTAGAAATAGTAATTTGTTCAGCTGACTTTCCTTTGGACACACAAAGGAATTATCAAAGAAGAATAAACTGTTTATAGCCGACGGAGAATGTCTGTCTATGGCACTATGCTTTCGCTTTGAGGTGATCTGAAGTACGCCTAAAATTCCTGAATATAAAGGCCAGGTGATCTTGTGTTCGTATTTTAGCCAATCAGCGCTCAGAAAGGGTTGTCCGGATAGAAATCCATTTTGATGTATTCAGTCAATTATATCTTTCGTTATTCTTTATGAAACTAGTTGAAATTTTGTAATTATGTTTGGTTATGAGAACTATAGCTCTGACAAAAATATGGAATCGAAATAAAGTATATTACAGGAGATATTCAGTTGTTTTAATCATAAAATGGATTTCTATTTGACAACTAGTGCCAGTACTTTTCCGCGTATCAAGATCATCTGGAAATTACACCGAATTGCGACATTGCACAAATCCCGTGATTAAAGTTCGCGACTCCATGCTTCGCAGCGGAAATTCATATTTTTGTTCCGCAAATTTGAATGACATGCTTTTCTTCAATGAAGTTACGAGTTTCGTAAAAATAAAAAACATTTGCATAAGAAGACAACAGAATGTGATTTTTCACTGATCAATCCGAAATATATTGCGAACTGTGAACAGAAGCGTTCTCTCTCTCTGAGAGCGTGCTACCTCGTATCTAGAAAGTTAAAATTATATTAACATTTAAAATAACAATAATCTTTAATGTACAGTGATTGCAGAATGGATATCTAACGCAAACTACATGCAGGACTAGAACAACACTATTTCTGGAAAACAATCAGGGACGTAGCGACCGGAGGGATGTGGAGGGGGGGGGGGCTGTAACCCCCAAACTGTGAAACTCAAGCAAAAATCAGGTAAAATTCAAGTTAACATTTTGACATTTTCAGGTAAAATTTGCGTAATAAAGTAATTATTTTTGTGAAATGATAACCATTTTTGTAAAATACAGTCAATTTACATCCAATATATTTGCGAATTTGAATTAGACATGACGCCAGAAATGCAGTCGTAGAGCTTCAAAACTGAACAAATTTTCTGGGGGAGGAGTGCAAATCAATCACAAAAAGTTTTATTAGAATTATTACACTCAGTAATTTTTTAACATTGAAATTCAAATTTCAGGTAAAATCCTCCGACAACCCCCCCCCCCCCCAAACTTCAGATGCTTCGCTACGTCCCTGAAAACAATAGCTTGCCTCGCATATCAGTGAGATCTAAACCTCACTAACAAGTGATAAGGCCACTCCAAATTAGACTTTAGTTTCCCGTCCTCCGCCCGCATCTCCTAGAACTGGCCGCATGAATTGTCCATTATTGCGAAGTTGTTTCCATTATTTGACTTTTGTGACAAACAATTACGAAAAACCACAGTTTTCAAATAATCTATACATATTTATGATACAACACGTAAAAATCGAAATAAAATTCTTGAAACTTTTATCAAAGAGCGTGATTTTTTTTCCGTTTTCACTACGAACTGCTGAGCTACACTTACAAGTTTTGATTTTTGAACGTCAAAACCGATAAGGTTAATATCCTGGCTTTCATTTCTGCATAAAAAACTCTAAAACATTGCGTAGAAACGTGACTGAATGGATATTTAAAACGAGTATTTATTTCATGAAATAATGGGCCGTGTTTCATCTTTGAGACACCATAATGGATAATGGAAATGGACCGCCCGCCCGCGTGTAATTTGAAACAAAGGCCGGACGGGAAACTAAAGTCTAATTTGGAGTGGCCTAACAGTGCTTTATTTTATAGCACATATAGTACTTGTATTTTACAGTTAGTACTTAGTAGCTTCCACTTGTACAGTATAGTGCTCATTCCATGGAATCATTTTCCTTTAAGCAACATTCCTTGCTTGTCCTAATTTCCTCGACTCCTACAAGGACGTTTCCCCAGACATTTCGGTGCTGGGCAATTCCATTGTAATATGCTCAAGACTTTCACTATTCCGCCCCGCAAGTGATGAGCTGGTATCGTTTTTGCCAGTAATGGGTAATGTTTGAAGGTTTATGACTGTAGTTTCGGTCTTATTTGGGAAGTGTTCGCCTGTACTACTTTGCGATGTATTTCCCGACTCAATAACGAAATTAGCAACGCCTAGGGTGTCTTTGGATAAAGCTGTAAAACTTGGCAAAGGATTGTTACAATTGTTATATATACCAGAAGATACTGCGCTTGAAACAGCGTGACTAATAGAAAACTAGAAAAGTCCTTCACACCTTCACTCGGTTTTCTATTCACCGGCTGTTCACCAATAGATTCAGAAACGCTGGTAATATTACTAGAGCAATTGCTAGATAGTATACTTCAAAATAAGGTTTCCGTTTTTATATCAATTTTTAAAATAATTAAAATAAGTTAGGGTTAGGTTAGGGTTTAGGTTAGGTTAGGGGGTTAGGGTGAGGGTTAGTATTAGAGTTAGGGTTTAGTTTTGCGTTAGGATAGTTTTTTCTACGTTATAAAAACGGAAACCTTATTTTGAAGTATACTCTCTAGCGATCACCATATTACTAGATCGTTCATGTTGGTTGCCGCTGGTACACACAACCGACTGCCCAAAAGCGCCTGCAGTACTTTGGTTCACACAACAAGAAGACTCAACTAATTGAAAGATTGAATAGATTCATCACACAACGATTGAGGAGCTAAAGCCTCGAGCTTACCAGAACCTTGAACATCATTAAAATCTCCAACTTTCGCGGTAATTTTACTCGGATTTTTAGCACGGAAAAGCAAGATGGAGTTTCGATCGAAATTGAAAAGCATGAAATGAGCGATGATGATACATATGTTGTCAATATACCAAACGATGAGAATGGAATGAAATATAAGTTGTCAGAGGCGGAAAGTAAAGGAGAGACAACAGAATCGGAAAATGAAGACACTGAACAGACATACGTTGTCAATATTCTCAATGAGAAGATTGACGCACCTAAAGTATCGCCAAAAATTATTAACGGTGATAAATCTTTGAGACAAGTAGGGATAGAAAAGGATATCGATGATGGATATTCGGGACAATTGGGAGTGGAAGAGGATAACGTTAATAGACGAAAAAGAATTAATTCGAGTTCAACAGAGGATGGATTTGGACCAAAGCTTGATAGACATGATTCAGAGGAAATATACGAGAATGTAAATGGATGCTTGTACCACAACAATGAAGGTCATGTGGCCCACGAAATGTTACCTGAAGAATGTTCTAAACCTGTCAAAAATTAAACAAATTCCGAGATCAACACAGCGGCAGCTAACAGTCAGAGAAATTTGGGGTACATTGACGATGAGATATAAGCACAAAATAAGACCGAAGAAAACGCAAGACAAAATTCAATTGATAATGACAACACTTGTGTGATCCAAGTAGAAACATTGGCAAGTGCTCGTTTGAGTGAAAATACTACAAGGAATGATAATCAATGTTATTTCGATGACGACATTTACGAAGATTGGGAAGACAATATTATTGGTAGAGTAAAGGCAATTTCTGGTGAATCTGGAGACGAGTTGAATGCATCTGCAGATGAACAGAATGAATCTGGGGATGAGATATATCAGAATTTTGATATCATAAACGAACAAGATCAGGATTCTGGTGAAAGTCTTTATCAAAATCTGAAGGATTTCAGACCGTCTCTAGTCATGCAAGATGTTAGATAAAACATAGATAACATGTAGTAAGGGAAACGTTGCATAAAACCCGATGTACGAGACTTGCGAATAAATAGAGTTAGTCATTAGGTGAAAAATCTCTTTTAATCCGTATTTATTCTACAAGAACCATACTTACAAAAATTTACCATGTTATAAATTATTTAAATATTCGGACATCCGTTACCTAGATAAAACTGTCAATGATAGATAAAAGTAATGTTGTTTATATTCATTAAAGTTTTCATATATTTATGATTGATATGGTTAGGGATCGTCCATAATTCAACATTTTAACAAGCGTTCAGAGAATGCTCTGTTTTCAACCCCTCCCATTCACCCACTCAGAGCATACTTAAATGTTGAACATCAAGTAAGACGATGTGTCTATAGTATAGTTAAACATTTTAAAAAGCGTACCTCATTAATTTAACCCCCTCCACCCAGAGCACAGTTTGTACGCTTATGGTTTATAAATATCGATTGCCAATACACACAATATATAATTAACATACAACTGCAGTAGCCCAGTATCTTCCTTCATGTAACTCTGGAAGTTCCTGCCAGCTGTAACTATCGAATCTAAAGCCTTCTACTGATTTTAAAACAGTTCCTCCTTCATCTTTGCCTCCCATGACAATCACAGTGTCTCTGACAACTGCAGCCACACATCCTTTTCTCTTATACTTCATCTCTGGTAACATGCGACTCTTCTGGGTCTTGATGTTGTACATTAAAACTTTGTTTACTGGTTTGCCGTTACTATCAACGCCTCCCGCTAGGATAACATTGTCATCACCCCACT